GATGAATAGGAAGGGAGAGAGCGGGTTGCCTTGTCTCACTCCTTTCTCCATAGAGAATTCATTTGTTGGGATTCCATTAATAATCACCGACGCTCTATCCAGTTCCAAACAATTACTAATCCAATATCTCCATTTACTTCCAAAGCCCATTTGCTCCATAATTAAGTCCAGATAAACCCAATTTACAGAGTCAAAAGCTTTGTTAAAGTCTGCTTTAAAAAGGAACGCGTGTTTGTAAGAATATAACCAAAATCAGGCCTTGATTAAAGAATCTTAGCATCGATCCTAATGGAATTATGCATTGGAAATTAACGAAAAGTTGTGGGTCTCCGACTTCGTGATCGACAATCAGTTCTTCGTGAGATTGTTACGATAACAAATTGAAAGGGCGAGTCATGTAGTCTGTGATGAACCGTTCGATTGGTGTAAAGTGATACCAACTAAGACTTATGTTTTATCTGGAGAGCGAAGTTCGGAAGAATCCCATCACCAGTTTCATTAAAATCAAGGGGTGTCCCAACTCTATCGACGATGTGTGTTCATGCAACTCGGACGAGGAGAAATGTGATCACATCCTTCTATTATGCCTAATGGCAAAAGCCGTCATGAATTTGATTTTATCTTGGTGTGAAATCTCATACGATGGATTCGAATCGGTGAAGGATATGTTATTTTTCATATCTTGGTATCTAAGCGCAAAAGAAAAGAAGTATGTTACATGTGATCTTATGTGGAGGATTGTGGTGTCACTACTAGAAAAACAGCCTTTTACGACGCTCATTGCGCGTCGTAAAAGGCTCAGACGACGCGCAAATGCGCGTCAAGGAAGGCCCTGTCATAAAGAGAGACGACGCGCATTTACGACGCTCGTTTACGACACGCAATTACGACGCACGTTTACGACACGCAATGCGCATCAAGGAAGGCCATGTCATAAAGGAAGACGACACGGATTCGCGTGTCGTAACCTTACGACGCGCGTGTTAATGACACGCAATGCGTATCAAGAAATCCCCTGTCAAGAAAGGTCATGTCATAAATGAAGATGACACAGATTTTTGCGTATCGTAAATTTAAATGTTTAAAAAAATATATTTTTATATTTATTAAATTTTAAATTAAATTTTCATTTAATGTCTCATAATAGAAATAAAATAACATATACAAAAAATACAATCCATTGCATAAAATTTAATGTCATACATTTCTATTTCTTACAATATATAAATTTATATTAGTCTAATCTACTATGTGTTTCATACTAACAATTGAAATGAAGAATGCAACTCTTGCATTTGCAGCATCTTATCTCTTTCAGCTTGAGCTTTCTTTCCTCTTCTAATTCAAGAGCTATTCAGTATCATCTACCCAGTAAGCACAACACAAGAAATAATGATATGATTTCCTTCAATGTGGAGACATCCTTACATGCTCCTTCCTCTAAATCTATACCAACTTTGACATTCTCAGCTAATGTTTTTGGTATCATTTCAAAGCTCTCTGTAAAATTTCCAATTACATATTGATCTAATCTGCATCATATCAATCATCAATCAAAAAATAAATTTAGTAAAACAAAAACTAATCATTCAGATTACCTACCCTGTCTCTGAGAAAGAAAACTCCTTCAGTTTTCTTGCTAATTCAATTTCAGTGGCTGCAGCTCCAGGCACAATTCTACTATCCATGCATAACATGTAAAAAAAATACAAGGAATAAAAATATAATTTATCCAAACAGTAATGCATTTTATCTTGTTACTAAACGCAAAAACAAGAAGCAACAAAATAATTAACTCTGACTTTAGGTTTTTCCTAAAAAAATTCCTTTCATTTCCCAAACTGCCCTCTCATTGTTTTTGGTGAAAGAAAAAAGAAGGTCCAGATAACCTTGTAAGTGTTTACACCATCATCAACAACCCTTACCAGATCATCAAGTATGCTATCTGTACTTCGACGCAACAAAACCGTTGTCATAGAGTTCCCGCCTTGTTTTTTTCTTACAATAGCACCTACACAACAAACAACAGGGGCATTTTTGCCTTTATAAAAAACTGTAATTTTTTCCTCTTGACATCAATCTCAGTCACCAAACCAAACAAACGAGAAATGATGTTTCATAATCATACATACCCTAGCACCACCAATTTCCTCTACAGAAATGGAGTCAACATATATATCCAAGATCATCAGGATTCACAGCACCAAGCTTCAACTGCAATTATATAAATTATTAGCAATTATATATATATATATATATATATATATATATATATATATATATATATATATATATATATATATATATACACACTAGAAAATTTTGAGGCCCGTGCTAAGCACGACCCAAGGAGGGCACTTTGGGTATTTTTTACTGTTATCTAATATATATTGTGCTGATACCAAAAAAAAGTGAGAGTACAATACTATAAATAGATGGATTTTCAATGTACAATACATGAAAAAAAAAACATGGAAGTATGTTGCTATAATCAATAAATAAATCAAAGCCCATTGTGGTTACATAATATGATTTCACCTTATGAAAAACCTATCAACATCATTTGTAGTGGATATGGATATTGGGTGTTCAAGGCTTTTTCCAGTTGTTCCTTGGTTGCCTATTGATCTTTATTGCTATCTCTATTACTTGATTCGACATGGCCCAAAAAATTTAGCACAAATTAGAAGGATTTAAGACTTTAAAAGTTTTTTTTTACATCCTGCAACCATTAGAACATACTTAGTGCAATAGAATAGTTAAATGATTTATTATTTAATTGAACAAAGCCTTTGGCCTAACGGTAAGGAGTGATGCTCTCAAACGAGAGGTAATGGATTCAAGTCTCTTAGGAGACATAGGTGGTATTTAGGAGTAGGTTTAGATAGTTTGACATTTCAAAAAAAAAGTGATTACATATATCTTGTTAACGCATGATGTTTTGTGAAGCAAAAATGAGGCATAAATCCTATCTTGAACTCATTTTTATGAGTTGTTAATAATAATTGTATATGATATTTGTTTAGACATAACTCGATTATATTAAAGGTTTACTTTGAACTATCAAGAGTATATGAAGCCAGCCCTGCCAAACAAAAATATTGGATAAAACACCAAGAAAATATGGTTTTCTTTTAATTTAATTGAACACTTTTGGCGATCAGTATTTCCCAAAAAAAAAAAAAAACAAATGCACACTGCTACTATTCAAGTTTGTGAAACTTAATTTTAACATGATCGTATTCTTTATAATGAAAGATTAAGTTCATATGGAATGATTCGCATGCTAAATTGCTAATCCAATAATAATATATAATATAACAGGAAATAAATATTATTATTATTTTTTCCTCTTAACCAAAATTAGCAAAATTTAAGAACTAACTTGACAAAAAAATGATATGTGAACATAAGGAAATTTGGAAAGTTACAATTATGCAAAATTTAAGATACTATTAGCATAAAACTATGTCTTTACGTTTCATCTGAATTTTTACAAGTAATGTTATATGTGTATGAGTAGTTTGGATACCATGTTGACTTGAATCAAAAGCAAAATGAAAAATTACAGACCTGCTATTATGAGGTTGATTGGTAGAACACCATCACATTATTACATCCTTTCGCATGAAGAATCTAACAACTACAAAATACAGATTTTTTGAAGATACAAAATATAAGAGCGATCAGAAAAATGAACCTATTTATTAGGGATTTAGTTTAAATGTCACAAATGGGAAAACCTGCATCAAAGGTAGTTAGTTACCTGTGCCTTGTGTAGGCCATCCACAGCTTCAATTGTCATTCTCCTATCCAAACAAATGATTTCCTCAGACTCCAAGCATTTGTTGTAGTAGTATAATGCATCATCTACCTCTTCTAGAAGTAAATGACAGCTGGAAATAGGATATAAAAAGAAAATTAGGTTATGATTTTTCCTATGTAATAAGTAATATGTAACAATAACTGAAAGATAGAAATCTTATTTTGCGGATATTAAGTTGACCTTCATGAAATTGGGATCTAATGCAACAACCATTCAACAGTCTTTTAGACCTTCCTGTGTAGCTACACAATTGCTATAACACAAAAGAAGAGGGTGTATACAAAATGTATCCTTTATCTACCAAGTTTTGACTGCTGATGAACAGATCTCAAGGACAAAACATGTATCGCTTGAAAGTTCATACACATAGAGATATTAAAAAGATCATTATAACCATAACTCAATCCAAGCTGAACCATTTTGAATATTAGTAAACATGTTTCAATCCTTATTTCCATTCTTTTCAAACTAATCGTTAAAAAGTATTTCAATGTATATACTTACAGGTGAAGATTTTGCATCCGGTTCACACAACCAATTTCGTCTTGCTTCCCACAAGCCCAGAACTGGTCGTGATCCTTAATTAGATTACTTCCTTACCCATGTTTCTTATCAGTGTTGAAGAGGAAGGCTTGAGAATCTGCTTGAGTGTTTTTTTTGTCATTCATTCTTCTTTTAGAGGCTGCAAAACATTTAAAATTTCACCAATTAAAGTTACAATAAAATCCTAAATAACAAATCGATTAACCAAAACTTCAGAAAAAACCAGTTGGGGAATTTCATCAAACACATGGAGGGCCATATCAGCTACTTAACACAGGTCCTTTCACGTACTCAGATAAACACATTCCGGATTAGAAGGTGAAAAAAAACGAAAGCCCTTTCCTTTGAACTGGGTTTGATTTCACCCCAATATTACTCTCAATGAACAAAAATAGAGATTTCAAATTACGAATCTTTACCTGGTTAGTGGCCAAACGATCATTTAAATGACCGCAATAACTCAATAGTGTTTCAGAGATTATTAGGGAGGAGTAGTTGAATGATATACATACAGTTGAGCTTAAGGGAATGAAACGGAATCGATCACCCTAAAATTACATCAACTTCCTCAAGTTGCTATGTGTTTCCTATCACAAATGTTACCAGAGGTAACTTCACCAAACCACTCACCGCCACCAACTACATCGCCAACATTTTCTTGCTCTTTTACTCCTCTATTCAATGACAGAACAGATACATGTACAGGAGAGAATATCTGAATATGTAGCTTTAGTAGCCAAAGATGGTTACTGGAGTAGGAAATTAGCGACAACACTTCAGGGGATCGAGAAATGAAGGAGAAGAAAATGTAGAGAGAGAAAAAAGTCTGAGAACCATTTGAAGAAGTTAACGAATTCAGATGAGAAATTAGGGCTCGCATGAAGCTGTATCTCTTCTGTCGAGAACCCTGTGGGTTTGATCTGTTCAAAAGACGGGATCATATTGCGATTTTGTTGTGGGAAAAAAGAGGATTGGTTATGTTATTAGGTTTTTTTGGGTATTAGAGAGAGAGAGAGAGAGAGAGAGAGAGAGAGAGAGAGAGAGAGAAAGAAAGAGAAAAAGAAGAAGGATGGAAATAAGGCAGAGGGAAACAATGGCGGCCTTTCAAACTTTTGGGATTTTCGTTTCCCCCCCTGCAAAAGAAGAGAACGCGCCTTTCGTTAAAAAAATATAAAGCGACATTTCAAGATGACACCCGTTTTTAAATAAGTGCCCTCCGTGTTTTTTTTTTTTGTTCGACATTAATTTTAGGGCACGAATAAAAGCGTGTCCACTATCCTTCAAATTTTAGAAGAGATAACATTATTTTTAGGGCACACGCTATTGCGTATCGTAAATCGCTGCGTGTCATTGTTTGTGCGTCATTAAAGGCCCTTTTTCTAGTAGTGTGTATTTGGAAGGACAAAAATCAAAGGGTTTTCAAAAACATTTCCTTTATACTGGCGAATACAATGGAGAAGATAAAATCAACAACTTTCATTTGGTGCAAACATAGAGGTTCCTTTCGAAACATGGATTGGAGAATTTGGAATCTTGGTCATTTTCTTTGTTTGTAATTTTCTTGTTTGTTTTGATTTTTCTTTTTCTTTATGTTTTGTACCTTCTCTTTGCATTGTCTTCATGTGAGGTGTTTTTAATATATTTGTCGTTTAAAAAAAACATAGGTGGGTGATTTGAACCACCTAATTTTATAAAATTTAATAACAAAAATATATAACTCAATCTCAATAGCCGATTGAACGACCTTCAGTTTGACAATCCTCCATTCCACAATTTTCGAGGCGGATTGTCTTGACAATTCCAGGTTTGTATAAGGCCGGACGGTATGGTGAGTGGGGACAGCCGCGGGAACCGTCCCGCATGCTGAAAGACCGCACCAGAGGTGCTGGAAAGGAAACGCGGGAAAGAGGTGGGGGGAGGGAGTTGCGCACTCTCTCTCTTCACTTGCTTGGATGTTTAATTTTTTTTTTCTTTTTTTGAAATTCAACCGTTATTCAACGGTAAAAAAATAAATATTTAAAAAAAAAAAATTTTGGCTGCAACGGCTAAATGGATTAAATTTTTTTTAAACTCTTTTACACACCTATAAATACACAACTATTTACCATCAAATAAAATTCACACAAACCCTCTACTTTCTATTCTCTTCTCAAAAAAAAAAAAAATCTCGGCAATCAAACCCCAACTTCCGATTGAAAGAAAAAAAGTCGTGTTTCGAGTATATACATCCATTCTCGAAACATTTTTGCTATCGATTCATCACCACAAGGAGTTTATCGTCCCCAACTCGATGCTCACATTCAATCCCCTCTACAATTTCAATACCAAAATGTTGGATAATATTTTCCGATGCAAGTTCCTAATGTTTCACCGCAAATGTTTTCAAACTTTGTTGTGTTTCCGGATCAACAATCGACAAATCAACCTTAACCCCAAACCCAAACTCAAACTCAAACCTAAACCCACCAACAACGCCAACTTTTCGATGGTTTGGATGACTCAGAAGAAGAAGAGATGGTTCCCGAAACTCAACCCACACCACCCCCACAAAAACGTAAAGGGAAAAAACAAGCAAGCGAGGGTGTCACACAACCGGGAAGACAAAAGCCGACTGCATGGCTTCCACATGAAGAGCTAGTTTTGATCAAAGCTTGGGCTGACATTTTTGAATATTCGATTCAAGGAAACGCACAACCGGGAGACCATTTTTGGTTTCGGATTTTAGAATGGTTTCGAGAGGAGCTAGAAAAATGTGACGACTACTGTACGAAACATCAACTGAATTCGAAGTTTCGAGAAATTGCAAAGATGGTTTCAAAAATAAACGGGTTGTACAACAACCTAAAAACCCAACGGAAAAGCAGCCAAGGGGACGAAGAAAATACTTCAAGAAGCTTTGCAGTTTTACCTTGAATAAGTTGGAAAACCATTCAATTGACATGATTGTTGGAAATTATTGGTTCGATGTCTTAGGTGGAAAAAATACGAGCAAGAGTTTATTTTTGGAGTCCAACAATTAAAACGAATGAAAACGGACTCTAGCGGTTACACAACCTCCTCCGATGCTCGGGTCGGTCTAGATTTAAATCAGAATGACAAACTCGAGCTAGAAGAAATTGTCCACCCAATGGGTAGGGACAAAGCGAATAAAAAGGAAAAATGGACTTCTTTGGGTGCATCAGATTTCAGCGGGGACATTGACAAGATGCGGAAAATAACATCGTCGTTTGATCGATATAATTTAATTTTTCCAAACGTTTGACTTTCGACAAAGAAAAAGAAGAAACAAGGAAAAAGGAGCGGACGGAGAGACAAGAAATTTTGATGGAAAAAATCGATCATCTCTCGGGACCGGTTCTCGAGCTCGTAATGAAGAAGAGGAAAAAAATTCTGAAAAAAAATATTTTCTGTAGGTTGTTGTTGGTTTGTTTGATTTTTTTTTATTTTCTAGTTTTTTAAATTTTAGGTTTAATGTAAGTTTTATTTTAGTTAATGAAATGCTTTTTATTTTTAATTAAATTTTATGTTTAGTATTAATTTAAAAATTATAAATTATAAAAAAAATTAATTTTATTTAATAAAAAAAAATAAAGGAAATGTTTCCCACCCATTCCTTGAGTTTTAGATGAGGGAAAGAAAAATAAGAAAAAAAAAATGATATGACGCATAAAAAGTGATGAAAACTTCACTCCGATCTAATGCTATAATTGTCTTGACTTTTTAGTTTAGAAATTTAGAATTTGAGAATAAACATTTTTCTCTTTAGCTCGTTGATACAATGATTGTTTGATATATGTTTAATTATTTTAAAATATATGATCAGATCTGCCACAAGTACGGTTGGGTTTATTATTTACCGGCTTCAACTAAAAGATAACCTTACAATTTATATTTTATATTCACCGTTGAAAACACCGAAGTACGTTAAATAATTTTTATAGTCAACTCCTAATTGAAACCTTAATGACTCAAATATTAAACCCCCTAGAGATTGTTGTCATATCCAATAAACCGCCAAGTAGTAGATTTAATAAATTATTTTTATGAAGGCTCTAAATATATAGTGAGTTTATAAGAAAATTGATGAGACTGTTACATGAACCTCCTATATGGAAAATCAAACAAATAAGCTTTATTACTGTGATTATGTTAGATGACCAAACGATTGTTGTCGAGAAAAACATATGTTCTTGTTTAGAAAATTTAACAGGATACGATATCTTTGAATAGTAAAGTGGACAAAATTGGTGGGCAGAAAATCAATTTGATCCAGAAATATGATAGTGTAATCAGTGACCATGGGCTCCACAATAATATTCCCTTGGCATCCACCACTACCTATAGTTCTACTTCTCTGCCACATTTATATAAAATTTACATTACGAAAGCTAAGATAATTCGAAAACATTTTTAAAAAATTTACATATGATATTTAAACTTATTCAAATATGACCAAAGAATAAAAAAAATTCTTTTTATTTCAAGTGAAAATCGTATAAACTTAAACTTTACAATTTTTTTTTTTAAATTAAATTTTATTAACCAACAATGAGTTGCAAAACGACAAAACAAATACAAAAATAATAGCCAACCATTGAATTCTATAACAAATAAATACAGTTGACTTTAAGTTTATAATACCTATTCACAAGCCAAAAAAAGTGAATGTGCAAAGATTATATCGCCCAATCATGTAAGTCATTCTTTGATTGAAGTGCATGTATCTATCTAAATATCCCAATGGTGACTAATATGTGGCCAAATAGCATTATTCACTTCACACCTGATGAAAAGATGATCGGTAGATTTTAATAGTGTTCGACAAACCGAACACATAATTGATTTCATATCAAAACAACAATATCCTTATTGGACAAATTTTTTCAGGTGGAAGCCCGACAAGAGAAACTTTCCAAGACCAAATGTTAACGTTATTCGTAACTTATCTATTCTTCCTATTGTAACCCAAAACAAGAATGGATTTATACACAATTTTTTTTAACTTGCCATGAACTCCCCCACATGATCAATGAACTAAGTCAATTATCCGACTCCAAAGAGATTTTGACCGACTGTACAAGAACCATCATAGCCAAAAATTAGACTTCTCCCCCTATTAGGTATTCAAGCAACAAACATACATATAAAAGTACATATATAAATGGAAAAAAAGAAGAGAGAGAGAGAGAGAGAGTTACATGTTTCACACGATTATTGTAATCGTGCTACATCTATGAGCCAAATAGAGAGATTTATTATTGATATCGAGATAAAGTTTACAATTGCATTAAGGCTTTAATATATAGCGTTAGGGAGGTATAAAAGAAACTATGTCTAGACAATACAAGATGCTAACATATTATCACTATTAGTATGATATTTATAGTCTCCCCATTCACCATTTTCAATCTGTGTCACCTTTGACATCCACTACAAACAACTTGTCTCTACAACTCAATAATCTTCCACTTCGGGGCCGACTAACAAATCAACTATCATTCAAGTCATGTACATCTAGTAAATCCAACAATACATAATATCATATTTTATTTATTATGTAGCTTTCTCATGAATCATCTAGAAGGTCGGTTAAAACTAAGCACAACACTTCAACTTCTTTGTTTGTCACCACCCTAGTAAACAACTAAATATATATACTTGATTCTTCATACCAAAGATTTTCTTTAAGGGCTATGTACCATTAATAATCAGATATGTAATGAAATGGTATCTCACTTAGATATGTTCAATCCTCCCATAAAATACTAGATTCTTTGCAAGATGAACTACACTGACATTACTATAATAAATAACATAGTCTTCATTTTTCATGCCTAACTCTGATAGACATGTATTATATTTATGTGGTTGAAAGATAAACATGTTGGAGTAGGTTTCTCAGCTAATAACTAAATTAGTATAATCTTGAATTATTATCAAAGTCCTTTTTGGTTGCCCTCAAACCTAGTAATTGACTAGAATGCTTTTTGGAAAGAGATATTGATTTATTAATTTATTATATGATTAATAAATTAATTAGAAATCAAAATAAATGATTTATTATTATATTATGAGAACAATGTATTAATTAGAAATAGTATTGTTTAATTAAGAATTATATAGAAATTAATTGGAATTAATTTTAGGATTAATTGGATTAATTAAAAATGAAAGGACTAAAGGTGACAATGTTTAAAAGTTGAACATTGACCAATTCTAGAACCTCCATAGGAGGGGGGGGGGGATTCTAGAGGGTTATAGGGTTTCTAAATGGTTTCTAGAGGTATTCTTGGGTTTTAATGAAACTTGGAATGCCTTAGGGAGAATGTAATGGGAAATGGTTATATAAAAGGAAACTTGTCTTATCCTTAGCCTCCCTATCGCCTATATAAACCCCCTTGGGTAATGAATTTTGAAATTCACCTCATTCCAAAGAGAATTTTTAAAATTCCCTTCCTCATCATCTCTCCTCTTTAGCCACCAATTTGCTAGGGTTTGGGTGTAAGCCATTAGAGACACGAGACTTCTGGTGTTTGCTTTCTGAAGACCAATAAGGAATGATTACTAGTTTATTTGCTATAATAAACTAAGGTATGTGTTTCTAATAACCCTTTTATTGATTTCGAAAATAACAATGTACTTATAGGGTTCTTGATGTTCAATAGTTCCTTGCAAATCATAGTGAGAACATAGACCCTTTAGGGTGCATGTGAACTTAGGGTTATATTTTTACGCCAAAATAGATTTTTTTTTCTAATATATAAAACCCATTAGTAGTATCAGAGCCATTATTCTCATTGATCTTATACAAATTTGAACATATCAAAATTAGGGTTTATAGAAACTAAATGCTAAGGAGGCT